AAATGTTCTTATTAAATCATAGTGCTCGGTAATGTAATCTAAACATTTAAGAAAAATGAAGTTTTATAAATAAAAAACTGTTATCTCTCCGTACGTAATGTGATAATGCAATTTCACGGTAATAATTTAAATATCCAGGTATCAAAGTGATAATAATCTATAATAACTTTAATTCATATCATATAACTTATTTACCATAAACCTAGTGAAGTGTATACAATAGCAAACTATTCTTAAACCTTATAAAATATTAACTTATTTAATAAAATAATTTAAAGTGATGTTTATCCAAATTACTATTGTAAAAACATAAATTTAAAAGTATTGAAATATACAGTTAAAATACTTTTTGACTTTTTGTTATTTTACGCTTTTAATTCGATGACTGATATATTTGGGAGTAAATTTTTAAAAAACGAGCAACACAAACAGTAATACGGAAATTCAATCTCTTTCTTGTGTCACAAATTATAAAATTTATAATCAAGTAGCTTGCCTAAGAATTAGAAAAAATATACTTTGGATTGTCTGCAAAACGTAAAAAAACCGTATCAACAAGGAATAATATAGAATAACATCACAAACAATATTCCGTACAAAGGGAAGAGATTCATTTCTTACATTTCATTTTAACATAATATATTGAAGATTCATATGATCTGAAACTTTGGGAAAATATAGTGACGTTATTTGAATAAATTGATAACAGGTGACAAGTATATTTTTTAAGAACGTAAAGGACTTCTTTATAGCATGTATTAAATAAAACTGTTAAAATTTATATACAAGTTAGTGCTTGAGAAAGAAATTTAAGGGTTTCATAATTTTTTAAACTAAAAACCTATCGATATTGTCTATGTACATATTAAGTACAAATGCATATTTAAATCATTTATCTTATTTAATTCCTTTTTCTTTTCGTTCATTCTCTGTTTCTTGCGAAGTCATTGAATGATTTTTTCGATTTTAATATTTGATAGACTTAAGGATACGGATAAGGATATTTTTCACGGTAAAAACTGTGTTACAAATATATTTCTATAATTTCAAATGGCAATAAATATCTTTATTTTACATAACAATAATAATTTGAACTCATCACGAACAGACAAAGTAGACGAAGTCGTGGATAAAAGATTCTTAATTTACATATCGTATTAAGCGGAAATTCGTTTTTATTAAAGGGAGACATGTCAGTATCGCTGACATCACTAATGTCACTTCTTTCAGTACATTTAATGATATTTCAAAATGAATCTTTATTTCTTGTAAATGTCCTTGTGTTTCTTGTAGGCTCTTTTTAATCACATTCTTCAATGGTTCGTACACATTGATCTCTGAAAACTAAGAATATAGTTTTTAAGATAATTTCATGTACCTACCTACTCATGTACCTACATCCATTAATAAATTATTTTTTACTAACTGCGCCTCGCAGTGCTACCCGCGAATTTCCGGGATGTAAAGTAAGCCTATGTGTTATTCCTGGACGTCAGCTTCCTATATACAAAATTTTATCAAAATCGGTTCAGCCGTTTGAGCATGGAGAAGTAACAAACATACACACACACTCACAAACTTTCGCAATTATATTTTTAGTAGGATAATAAAAACGGCGTGAGCGTTATTTAGGAAAGATAAAAAATAAAAATTCTTAATTTTAATATTGTTCAAGATGTTTTTTTTTCCGTTGTCTTTTTTTAGCATTGTACCAAAAAAAAACTGTGTTTGTATAACAAGGACTTAGCTGTTGACTGTAGTCAGTCAGTCTGATTGACTGTCATAGTACTGAAACTTATAAAAAGTATACACAATTGAAATTTTGAAACCTTATATGTATCTCTTTTGCAACTGTAATAAAAAAACCTAAAGAGTGAAAAAATAATAATTAGCTATCACTCAACAAACACGATTTTTTGCTAGTTTTCAATAAAAACAAAAAATATATTCAATAAAAATAAGTTAAAAAAAATCATACAACGAAATGTTCGAGTCTTATTACTTTCTAAGTAGAGGATAACAATTAGACTGGTGTTAAATTGCTTTCATTCTTCTACCTGGCAATTCCCAGCTATAGCCAGCCAGGGTCTTATAAAAAAAAAATTAGGTCTACCTAGCTCTTGTAAATTCACATACTTTATTCTGTCTACTAGCGTAAACCTGTTCATTGCTTGTTTAAATATACAAACATCAACATAGTTTCAAAGAAAATAAGTAATGTGACTATGACAAAATTGCCTTAAATTAAACTACATGTTTAATGCCAAACATTGAAATTTCATATTCATGAATCATGTACATTGTATAAGAAAAAAAGTTTAAACAAAAAAGCAGCAAACTGGTTAATGAATATAAAATGTTAAGATTTGCTTGGCCCATCCATTCATGTACAGAAGACAGATAACGCAACATGATTGTATTATTTTTATTGTGTGTAACATTGTTTGTTTTTACTTTTGTATTTCGATACAGGAGACGGAGGTTATACGAATTAGCAGCGCTCCTACCTGGAACAAAATCTGCACACCCTGTATTAGGTGTCATACCTCTTTTGATAGGCAATAGTGAGGGTGAGTACAGTTGAAAATATAATTAATGGAAAAGGATTTTGACCTTATTGAATGATAGTAATTTTTTTATTATATTTATTGTAAACATACATTAATAAATCATTTAAATGCTGAATGCTACGGAAATTTTTAATGTTTATAGATTTTTATTCTACATATCTTATAATTTATACAGTAACATTATCTGACTTGTATACCAGACAACATAGTTTAATAAAAATATATATCATAAAATTTACAGATACAATGACCAGTATGCGAAATTTCAGTTATGAAATGATAGAAAGTACTGGAGTCGGAATAGGTTGGCTGAATCATATGTTATATATTTGTAAGTATGCTATAATTTTAATAGTTTTGAAAAAATGCCGATAAAAATAAATTTTAACTGATTTGTTGTAGTGTAACTGAATTGTAAATACAATTGTAGCTGATGTGGCCTTTTGTTAATAGGTCATATGTTCGAAATGATTGTTTTATATATTTTTTCCCTATCAAACTAAATATTAGTGCTCATTAGAAGTGATCAAAATTTTCAAATAAATCTTGTTTCACTAACTTTTTACGATTATATATTCCATTCAAAATGTTTTAATATTTAAAATGTTTTTTTTTGGCTATGGTTAATAAGTCAAAACAACCACGCACAACTAAAACTACAGAGAAATAAATAAATTTACCTAACACAATTTATTGCAAGTATGTTTTTTAAATAATTAGGTTATGATTAATTATCTTTTTGTGGTTGTACATTATCTTGTTAAGGTGATTTTGTTTTAATTTCTCATCATAATACTATTTGTTAGTATGTCATCTTATACTTTTTTTAAAGTATCTGTTGCAATTAAAACATTTAGTTTTGGAATTTTTTTTTTTGTTCCATTTAACATTAAGAACATTTGTTGTTATAAAAGTTACTATATATGTACGTACATATGTCTTTGTTACACTTGGGGTCTTTTAATAATTGGTTTTCATAGACTATTCATTTTTTTGGCACTACCTACATAAGATCTAAAATGTATTTTCTAGGACGTTGGCAATTGTTTCGGAATTTCGGAACTAAAATCTTTACTTTTCTAAATTTCTCACTATTTTCTTTTTGTACTCTAAAAAAAATTATAAATAATTTAGCACCCATCAACAAATTATAGTATTTGATATCATAATTATCTAATTTTAGCCTTTCTTGGTTTTCTATACCGTCAGTTTTGCAAATTGAAATTATCAGTATTAATTTTATAGTATTTTAAATTCATAATTGGAAATACCTACCAATTTATCTATTAGTCAAAACAACTTATTATTTTTAGTGGTGGTAAATCCTGAAGATATAGAAATGATATTGAAAACTTGTTTAGAAAAAGATGATTTGCACCGATTTATAAGAAAACTCCTTGGATTTGGAGGCATATTTGCACCGGGTTAGTGACACACAGATAACATTTTTTATATATATGTATGTATATATAAAGGATAATTTTAAAATTTCGAAATGTTGTAGTTTCAATTTGGAGACGGAGGCGAAAAATATTAATTCCTACATTCAGCCCAAAAATTCTTAAAAATTTTGTGGACATTTTCGCTCAGCAAAGTAGTAAACTTGCAGACAAACTATGTGACAAAACCTCCAATACTCCTTTTAGTATTTGGCCTTTTCTAGTAGCTTACAATGTGGACTCAGTTGGTGGTAAGTTAATATTTATTATTGTGAAATTTACTGAGATGTTCGTTTTTCCAAAAATCTTATTTATGAAAAGTTAATTGAATTTTTTATATTGCTTAATATTTAAGTCATATGTTGTATGATTGTTACAATTAGGTCACCTGTTTACAGAATCTGTAATGGGAGTACGACTAAATTCACTAAATAATCTCTCTACTTCACCAATTCTTAATGCGATGTCAACAATACTCGAAATCATGTGTGCAAGAATATTTCGTTTGTGGTGGCATCCAGATTGGCTTTTTAAGTGTTTCCCAATATATACCGTCCATGAAAAGTGTATAAAATTATTGCATAACTTTGTTGACAAGGTTTGTGCAGTACCCTTTAGCTTAATTTTATAAGTTTTTCATGATTAATTATATATAAGTAGGTACTTACTTCTACTATTAAGCAAATTTTTTTTACCTAAATATGTTTTGATATAAAATAATATTTACAATGCTTAAATAAAGCTCTGTATCAGGTTATTGAAACGAAAGCGATAGAATTGCAGAAAGGCAAAGTGAGTCAACAGAACGAGAGTCATCATTTCGGTACGTTTTTTTTATAACTTATTAAGATTTAGTGTTTTCATATAAAAATCCTTTGCAGATATTCAGGATTTCCAAAGAAAATCTTTTCTTGAATTATTAATAAATCTATCTGGTGGAAGTCAAGGTTTAACAAATGACGAGTTAAGAGAAGAAATTTTAACTTTTATCATGGCAGCTACAGACACCTCAGCTGTAGCAATGGGATTTACTCTTATATTGTTAGGAAAATATCCAAAGATACAAGATAAAGTACATGAGGAGTAAGTAGACCTAAAAATAAAGTTCCTTATGCTAAAGATATTTATTTTGTATGTTAACACTTTAATATAACTCAAATATTTACAGGTTAAACGAGATTTTTGGAAATTCTGATCGTCCTGTAGAAAGTGAAGATTTAAATAAATTAACATATCTAGAAAGAGTTATTAAAGAGTCACTAAGATTATATCCTCCAGTGCCTTTTGTTATAAGGAAAATTGAGAAAGAAATAAAATTACGTAAGTTTTCATTTATAAGACATGTTCTTCTGGAAGATTTTTCACTGACGATTGTTTTTATATTCTTTAGCAACAGGAAGCTGTCTCCCGGCGGGTAGCGGAGCGGTGTTATCTATTTGGGGTGTCCACCGAAATCCTAGGTGTTGGGGTGCTGACGCTGAACACTTCGACCCTGATAGATTTTTACCAGAGCGCTTTAAATTAGTGACAAACGGCAGCTATATACCTTTTAGCGGTGGACCACGCAATTGTCTCGGTAAGTATTTTTGGTTTTTCTTTTTATTTGGTCATTATAAAATTATTTATTTGGTCTTTATAAAAATACTTTTTAGGATATCAATATGCTTTGATGTCTATTAAAACAGCTTTATCTAACATACTTCGAAAGTATAAAGTACTAGGAGAACCAGAACCCTCACCCATACCTCATATAAGAGTCAAGTTGGAGATCATGATGAAAGCTGTAGATGGATTTAATGTAACATTGCAGAAGAGAGAGTGAAGTACGAGTACTTAGGAAAATCTTTAACAAAAATATTAATTAAGACGAATAAGGTAAAAGTATCAGTAGATGACCACTTAAGGAGACAGAATATTCTTTTTAAATGTTTGACTTTAATTATCATATGAATTCAGTAAGTTTCTTTTTTGGGAAACCCTGTGAAAAGTGTTTTAACATATGAACAAGTATTTCACCACGTATAATGAACGAATAAAATTAAAAAAAAATAAAAATATTCTAATGTTAGAAATTTAGTAGTTGACCATCTAAAAACTAGAAGATGACCATATTTTGCATCAGTAGTTGACCACTCAGATCAGCTACAATTTTAATTGGGTTATTTGTTAAATAAAAAGCAAAATAAGACGAAAAGAAAACGTTTTATTTGAAATATAATAATAATTAGGCCTGGACACTATCTTCCAACTCCTTATACACACGTTTGTACCATTCTGATAGGTGATCACCTGTTACCTTGGCTCTCGATGCTGTCAAATTTTGTGATATCCTCTTGGAAATTGTTGGATTTCTCCGAATAAAGGCCTTTACCCATATTCTACCTGGTCTTCCATGCTTGAATAAGACACATGGACGTTTTATTTCCTTTAAGTATTTCTCTACACTCACAATTAACTATTCGGTTGTCACAGGAAAACCCGCTTTTGCCATTTTTTTGCACCCAGTCTCATATTTTATGCTCCTCTTCTGGTGTAAGGATGGATGTCGGACCCATTTTTCGTTCCATCGGTGACTTCTCTTTTACTTCATTTGTAAAATCATAGTCAATCGGTAATTCGGTAATGGACCACCATGGCCAATTACTAGAAAATCACAATCAAACGGAATCAGTAGTGGACCACCCTCGCATCTCAATTTTGTGAACAAATCTTCAAATTTTAATTAGCCTGTCATATAAATAAACCATAAACGAATAAGAAACGAAAAACACTTACCGTCAACAAGGTGACAAAGTTCCTAGTATTTAGCTTCAAACTTTTTCAATCTTTGCGAATATTGTAACAACAAACGAATTCATCGATTTTATGGTCCGTCACTCAACAAACAACTGGCAGCCACTTTCTATATTTTACAGATATGGATGCGCAATTTTCGCTCTTAGTTGACCAGATGGCAGATCTGACTACTTATTAACGAATGAGTTTTAAAAATTGCCGCGAACTCTTATTATAACGGTTTATGTGCATTAGCGGTCAACTACAGGTACATGGTCAACTACTAGTGACTTTACCTTATATATTAAGACGTAAATATTTTTGAATTTTAAATAGGTATGCCTACTTTGTTTTAGATTTTAAGTGGAAATAGTTTCTCGATAGCTTTTCACAGTTTTACTCTCATTTAATGCCTTTTTATTTGAAAATGCTATAAATGCGAGTTATTTGGTATTAATAAAACAAAGTTAAAATTTTGGAATTGTAGGGAAAACCTGAACTAAGTGCTTTTGAGATAAAACTGTTGGTTCTAATTGAAAAAGGTCGGATCCCAAAATATATTTTTTTTTTCATAAAAAATTTATAACACGTTAAAATTTTAGGACAAATATCTAAAAAAATATTGTTCTTGGTCCACAGACTACACTCAGATATATGCTGAAAAAATTTAAATGTTCTCTATCAGTCTGGGAACATTTTTTTTTAGCATCTCTATGTGAAAGTAGACAAATAAATTTAAAGTAAATGGAAGGTGAAAAGAATAAATTTGCACAAAAGGTGAAGGGGTGTGGGAGGTGCGGGGCGAAGTAAAAGCAGTATAAAACGGTTCAAACCTACAAAAGAAAGTGGTATTCAATAATTTTACATCACACCTACACTATCCATGTGCACTCACATAAATGCAAAACTCAGGTTATGCCTCGTGCACTATATAAGTCTAAGTCTCTGTATGATAACAGTATTAACTAGGTTTTAGGATGTCTTGTTTATTTAATTTATTTTGGTAAAACTGTAAAGGTTGTGAAATTATAACAACACAAAATATACCACTTGCGTTAGAGTAACATAACAAAATCAGGTACTGCATTTATTTGTAAGACATTTATGAATAACTATGACATTGGTAGATAATAAACGAGTTTTTAACAATTTTTAAGGTGGTAGAGCCTAGCTGTGGTCAAGTAACTACAGCTCGAATACGGGCTGACTCGACCGGGGAAGTACCACCCTCTCACAGAAGATCGGCGTGAAGTAACCTCTATTGGCTGCGTTTCGTGCGATAAGTGAGAGAGCCGGTTGCCCTTTCCCTATTCCCACCATTTCCTGACATTCCCTTAAGCCCACCCTTCCCTATTCCTAAAAAACAAAGGTTGGCAACGCATTCGCAACATCTTTTCTCCGGATGTCCATGACGACGGTCACTATTGCCCACTATTGCCCAGCGACGGTCACTATTGCCCACCATGTAGGAAGTCTGCTTGTTTGCCACCTTTCACATAAGAAAAAAAGATTATTTGAAAATTTGATCCAACTTGAAAGATAGGATAGCTTACATCTCAATTTATAGTCACAATATTATTTTATTGCAAATTATTTGTTTTATTATTACTACTATTAAAGATTTTGTTTATTATTATTACAATTATCTGTTGACTGAGTTAAGTATTCAATAGATGGCGCTATGTTAAAAATAAAAACGTCATATTATATGAGCGACTATATTTAAATAATAGCATAACCACCAAATGTTTCTGAGGCTAAGGTATATCCTAAATTTATTTATTAAAGAAACGTAACAGATATTTCTTGATTATAGGTCGATACGAAGTTCGCCGGGTCTTCTAGTAGGTATATAAGTATTTCAATGTTTTGAAAACAGGGTTTTAATAAAGTAAAACAACAATGATTACCAGAATATTGAATATTTTTAATTAATTGACAAACCAAACCATTTTTATCTATTAGCCCTCTTACGCTTTAGGTCGGCATGTTATGTGCTTAAATCAATCTGTATATTATTTACATAAGTGGGAAATGATAAATACAACATGTATGTATGTATTTTCATCTATTATAAGTACATATTTAGATTTATTTTGCAAAAAGATTTATAGACGTTGCTTTTTTCGAAGCGTATACTGTGACAACATGACCCGTTTTTATTAAAACATTTAATTGAATAGGTACATACTCTAAATAAAAATGTTTTCAGTTCATCAAATTTGTTGCCAACTCGTCAATCAGGGTCAGAAACGGAAATGCATATTTGGATCTACACAAGATGTGATGAATATTGATCTTGTTGCTAACAATCTATTATCTTGATGAATAAATATATGGAATGAAGCTGGCCTCACTTCACTTCATATTTTGAACAGCTTGAAGGGTCGCCGTTGTACATATGATCGCACATGCCTTATATTTTATAGAACAGGAGCAGGATACACTCTTTAGAATGTGCGCAGGAATTAAACTCTTTTAAATCCTGCATCCAATTTCTATCACCAGACGACTAGAAGCACGGTGGGCCTCTATCCTTTCTGTGTAGACCTTCTTTGTCTCAGCGTCTCCTAGAATTAGAACGACAGTCAAACATTATTCAGTTGAAATAAAAAATCCCTATATGAAAAGCGATTAAACCAATAGAATTTAATTAAAAAATATTGATATATATATCTTAATACTAGATGACCCGGCAAACTTCTTATTGCTCTATAATCAAGAAATATCTGTTACATTTTTATCTGAATGAAGTTAATATCCTTATTCCTCTGAATCAAGTTTTGCCTGGTTCAACCTCATAAACATTAATCACTCAGTTTTTACTTTAACATACATATCAACCGTATATTTGTGAAAGAGACACCAACATTTTAAGATGTGATTGACATCAACTTAACTCCAACCAACCATAAGCTTGTATGAATAATAATTCATTGAACTAACTTTTTTGTTAGTTTCAGAAAAATTATATAAATTACTTAAAGCTATAATTAACATTAAAAACTTAAAATATTTATTTACCTGTAACTGGATTTATCATCTTCATTAAAAAATTATACCCATCTTCACCTTGCCAAAATAAGATAGGATATTGTAAAGCATCATAGGTTCCATGTGATTTGGACACACGCTGCAGTTGTTACACCAGTGTAAAACAATATTGAAGTTATCTACATTTTCACCCACAATGACAATAGCGACTCCAACGATTGTTGGGGCATTAATATGTCTTATGTGTTGACTTGCAGGTGTCTTGTTGGCTTTGATAATAATCTTGTGATTATCTTGATCGACTTATCTTCCTGAATCGCCCATGAAATAAATTTGCAAAAATTTTGTCACTACCCGGCACTGGTAATAAGGGACCTGTTCCATGATATATTTGTCCTTGAATCTGCAATGATACATTCCTGTATTACATAAACATATTTGTAAAGTGAATTGTTTAAACTAGCAAGTGACACTCAAAATAGGTACTTTTTGAGCACTACTAATTCCCCCATCAACTTTTTTAACACAATTCCTTCTGGCTACTTAAAGTTATTCACAAGTCTATAAATGTACTTTTAGTCATTTCAAATGATACACCATTACAATTGAAAACTGTCAACAATAGTGGTAAATGTTTTTCAATACACTTACCTTAAAAGTTGGCATAAAATTAATTTTACTGTAGTCCATTTCTTTGTTATAATTAAATGCAGCTCTACAGGGGTTAAGAGCAACTCTTCTATATCGTTGACTTGAGGCATAACGGGTTCTGCGACTTAAGTTTGTAGGTACGTCTAATTGCCGGCATTTTTTGATACAAAAATGCAACTGAAAATAAAAAATACTTTTCTTATTCTATTCCTATTCTTTTGTAATAATATCAAAATTGTCTATCAAAACTTTCCAAAACTATAATTTACCTTGTTACTTTGTTGTTGACTTACATTGTTGAACAAACACTTCCGAAAAAAACATACAGTACAAATTATCCCGTAGAAACCAATTACACCTAGAAATGGTTAATGAATTATGAAGGTATTTGGTTAGTATAAC